TGAACCGTCTAATTGATTGCAATGGATTTGAAAGTACAAGTACTGCTTGTGCAAGCACAACCCAGAAGCAGAGCCCAAATAACCGTGAGAAACGCCAGCCTTACACTCACATTTTGTTTCTGTTATAAGGCTGTGATGCAACACAGTTCCTATTCGGTCTCTTGAATAAGCAATGCAGTTCCAGTTTGCCCTCCAAATGCAATCTGGTCCCTTAAAAGCACACTTAAATGCATTCAATTGGGAATGATTGAACATAAACCAAAAAGAAGCATTAGTCATCCTAATGTGAATTTAAGAATATGATTCTGGGGCACAGTAAATGAATCTTTCAAAAATCCCAGATAAAGTGACCAAGCTGCTCAAAAAAGATGCTGTCAAGTCTTGCATCAACCAGCCTGCCTTTGTTTTCTTATGGGGCAAGTAAATAGCTTTGCAAGAAAGTATTTGCTTGAGGAGAAAATACAGCATTGCTTCTAAGATTCAAAATGCATTCATATTTTGAACTCATCTGTCAGCTTCTAGCTCAAGGCACCAGACAGAACTCTATTAACATTTATTTAATAATATATGTTTAATATTTTACAAATGTTACTACAAAACCACAGACAGGGGTAGCATTCTTAGAAGTTAAAATAATACACCAAATTAGAGACAAATAGAGCTGAGTAGAGAAACTAATTCATCAGAACAATCCTCCAATCAAAGACCTGTTTTATGTGGCTTGTTGCAGTTTACCAGCAACAGATACAGTTTCTGATAGTTGGGAGTTTTCTTGCACTCATGTAACACAAATATCTAGTTATTTGTGCAGATGATGTGACAAAAATACCTCCTGGGAGAGGATATTTGTGTCTGCATTTTGTCAGGACCTAATTCCTGGCCCTGCACAGTGAAAACCCCATCAGTTCAGCTGAAAAAAAACCATTTCAAGATTTTAGAAGACACGGTAATGTTTTCTCCTTTATAATGAAAAGAAATCCTAAATAGGTAGACTTTGCTCCTCAGAAGCATCTCAGCTAGGAGATTATATCCTGTCTCAAATTACTGAAGATGCAGCTGCTAACAAAGCAAATGGAGAACAAGGCTTTGTCTCCGTGCACAGGGACAGAGCAAGCGATTTACCCAGTCCCGTCATCACACAATGCTGCAGCTCGTCTGCATGTGAGTTTGGCTCACCGTAGTTTTATGTCCTCTGGAACAAAATTAGTAATATAAGGATATAGGACCATGCTCTACTTAGCGTGTTTAAGGTAAAGATAGGTCAAATGATCCTAACTCTTGCTGCTCTTTCTGTAGTTGAAAGTAACCTCTCCTGTTCCTGTAAATGTTTGCTCTTTGTATGCCTATGCATACAATTTCTGAATGAAAGAACTGACTTCCAGGCCTAAATACTGCCAAGAATGGGAATAGGCTGTGTGAAATTTGCTTAGAAACTCAAGTTGTGAAAAAAATTTAGGAAATTTCACTAGATATCAAGTCCCTCATATCATAGGATGTGATACACAACTTCATACTTCTTGGCTAGCCTGGATACCAGGCCAGTTTGGGTACACAGTGTCTGCTTATCCACCCCCACATGATAATGCATGTCACATAACAGAACACTAGATGAAGCTAGATACTTCTTAAAAAAAGGGAAATGGCAATGAAAGATAAAACACAGTGAGCAATCTGTAGTCACGGATTGGAAAGCGTAATTTTAAAATGGAAGCATTATTTATTGCACTGATACTGTAATTATAATGTAGTTTTTGCAGAACAATTACTGTCTTTATTAAGTGATTCTTCATAAGCCTCACAGTTGAAAGCAACACAAGTAATCTAGAGATGACTGGTGCAGCAGAGACAAAAATGTAGTTCAGCAGCAGAGACAGACCATCTGGCCTGAAATCTCCTGCTGACTAGTTTTCCACATATCCCGACCTAAAGGAAATGAAAGGCAGCCCTTGGGAACTGCAGCTCAAGGGACAAGTCCTTAGGATGCATCTGAATGACATGGCTGCCGACCATAATATGAGAGCACATTTGAAGCAGCCACCTGTATTTTGCCGAGACACGGTGCATGGCACTAGGTGTGTGCCAGAGGCAAGTGGCTGAAGGAAGGAGCTTGCTTTTCAAGCTTAACATCTGTAGAAATACTACTATGCTTTCCAGAAGCTCTAATATTGCACTGAACATTTATATTCATCCCGGTATTATCTGGGATACGCTGAGAATTGTGAGAAGAGTTGGTAATAAACCAAAAAAATTACAGCTCAGTAATTTGTTTTGATACAGCCAGGAACACAGATCCAAGTCAGGATAAAGTTAGGTGAGGCAGCATACATTATGCTACCTTGCACATTACAATCTGTTACAGATGAAAGTATTTTATGTAGGTCAGGCACTGCTTCCCTGGAGACAGACAAAAAGCCATAAGGAAATCAGAGCAGTGTTGGGCCTTATTCCAGTGATCCAGTCTACTCCAAAGTTTCAATTATGCAGAGATTTGTTTCTCTCTGGTCTTGTCTATCAAAGTACTCTTTCCAATCAACGTCTGCAAGGCTAATTATAGAGGACTGGACAGCATATATCTCATGATGCAAAACTAGATAAAACTCCTCGCATTCACAAGGAGGTAACAGTTTAGTCAGTTGAAAAAAGAAAAGAAAAATCAAAGTGATGCTGATTTTCAACTCATTGCAACACTGAGCTGCAAAATCAGGTTTCAGGAACAGAAGGCGGCGCTCTGGCCCTCATAGTGAGGAGAATGGTGTTATTAAAAGAAGTAGTCTTGCATTTCTCTCTCCCTTTCCTTAAAACCGTGCTCTAATGTAACTGAGAGGGGACCTGTGCTTCAGTCTTGCTGCAACAACACTTTATCGCTGAAAGGTGGGAGAAAAAGAATTTCAGGAACCCAGAAGTAAAAATGATTATTTTTTCTTATATCTCACAGTCTCAGCAGAGAATTCTATATTTTTAAAAGAAATTCCTTTTTTTTTTTTTTTGCTATTGTGTAACAGTATGCTTTCATTCTGGCAACTAAAAACCACAAAATACAAGCTTCTACTAACATTTCACAGCAGAGTTCAGAATTTAATTTTATAACACACATCATACCATTTTTCATTACCACCTATCTAAGAAGTTCTCTTGTACCAAAAACCTGAAAGATTCTCAAGCAGAACAGCACTGTACTTTCAGAATGGTATTTAGCTGTGAAGAGATACAGAAAGAAGTACACAAATCACACACAAAGCTGCGTATTTTAGATTGGATATTAGGGAAAGTTTTCTTCACCAAAGGGGTTGTCAAACACTGGAACAGGCTGCCAGGGAAGTGGTAGAGTCCCCATCCCTGCGGGTATTTAAAAGACGGGTAGGTGTCGCACTTAGGGACATAGTTTAGTGGCAGACTTAGTGGTGCTAGGTTAATGGTCAGACTCGATGATCTTAAAAGTCCTTTCCAACCTAAATGATTCTATGATTCGATCATAGTAAACAGATGAAGCATGTATGATGGAAGAAGAAAATATGTGCCCTTACGCACTTTATGAGTATCTTAATTCCCCTCCAGAGGGAAGGCAGCATAAATGCCTATTATATTCCAGTTTGGTCCATAGTGATTTTCATCATTTAAATAAACCAAGTAATCTAGAAAGGCTTTTCCCATTATGCCTGCAAGAAACTATCCTCCTTACCAAGTCTGGGATCACAGATAAGCAGGGAGTTTTAGGTATCATCTCTGAAGAATTCTAGCATTGTTTCTTGAATGAAAGAATAATACCAAATTCTGTATTTCTATCCTTGTCCCATATAAAATCTTTAAAAACATATAGGATCTTTTGCTCTTTTTATTCCCCCCTCTCTCCTCAAATACAACAATTCATACTACTACAGAGCAGTGGATCTCCCTTGCATGCCATCATCCATACTTTTATTTACTGGTTTTTTCCCCCCACAATAAGAAGCAAGCTGTATTTTAAATGTAAGCCACCAGTGTTGTCTAGTGATGCTCCTTACCCTGATTCCGAGCTCCACATTCTCTCCTCCATATACTTCCATGCCTTCATCCAGTAAGCCAATCTCTTGGAAATATTCTCTATCTACTATGAAGCATCCAATCAATGCAGGACTTCTGGAAGAACAGACCAGCAGCAAAGAAAATTAATGGAGAGAATATGAACAAATTTATTATTCAGAAATAGACTATAATTTCTGGGTCAAATGGTGTGTCAAGACAGATTCTTAGGGAGATGTTTCTCAAACAGATTTATTCAGCTTTGTCTTCTGGCGTTCTTGATTCTATGGTGAAATAAGCACCACTAAGGGAAAATAGACTCAAAATCATTGGACCTACATATTCACCAGAACAGGCAGGACTTCAGTGCTAGCCATACTAGATCCAGGACCCCAACTTCGTTTCTGAGGCACCAGCCATTCTAGTCTCTGTCCCTGCTAAGTCCTCAGGTCTCTTGTCTGTGATAATTAACAAGGACACCCAATGATGTAGAGTTTTGTGTGTTTAGCCAGGAGCTAGGTTCAGCTACAGCTAAGAAAACTTCTGTCTGTAAGCTTATGTGAAAGAAATTATTTCTTGAATAGGAACACCCAGATAAGGTTTTGCAATACAGAATAAAGAAATGTCTGCCCTCACCAGCACACTGTAACATTAGTCCATTGTCCTGAGCCAAATTTAAACGTCACATATCTTTACCAGATCAGTAAGCTCTATTTATGTCATGACCTGAATTAACCAACTTTTACTATGCAGAGCCAATCTTAAGAAGGTAAGAGTTCAGGCACGGAGAGTACAATTTTACCTTTATGAGGTGTAGTGGAGAAGAATACGAGTAACTTAGCCTTTTAATTTTCTTCTACCTTATAATCCACAATGGCAAGAAATAAAAATGTCTTTTCTGATTATTATGCTGGTATCAGGAAGTCAGGTAACAACAGGATATTAATTAGCAGTTCAGGGGAAATCATCCTGCATTTACTGGGAACATTCAAGCTGCAGTAAGCATAGACATCTGCTTTCAAAGAGATTATAGGATGTCTTAATCACAAATTGTACAATTCTACAGCTATCTACACATTTACGCCTTTAACTTGAAGTGCTATAGTGCCTACTCTACAACAATGGAAGACTGTTTCTGATGTATTTATTAATGAAGAAAATAGCAATAGTTAACATCACTTCAAAAATTATCATATTTTATGACAAAGGACTCTCGCTTTTGGTGTGGGTTTTGAAGTATTTTTCAGAGTACCTGCTTCCCTTTTTTTTAATTCTAGAAGCATATTGGAGGCATGATAGAAGCCATCAATCAGTACGTGTGGCTTGATTTTTTGTTTGTTTTAGTTATCCAGCACACACATGCAGTGTATTGCCCTGAATAAAAGGTGCCGGGGAAAGGGCTAGGGAATAAACCTTAACATCCAATATTCATAAAGGACATTCGCTCCACAATCCTTACATAGAGCAGAGGTTTGGGGTAAAATGCAAAAGTAGATTTGTTCTTTATTCTGAGTTTAAATACTTTTAATTTAAAAAGTCACCATAATTAATATAGGTTTGCCTCTCCATGACTTAGTAGAATATTTCAAAGCATTTTCATAATGTTAAGAGTGTTCATTAACACTGATAAACCATTTCCAATGATGTGGCAATTACCACCCCTTTTTATGTATGTCTGTGGCAAACCTGCGAATTTTCATCTCCTACTTTCCAATTCTGAGTCCTGTTCTAATGACCAGCATGTGGGTCAGTGCAGTGCAGAGTGTTTAAGTTGACAACTTCCCCAAAAAGCTGCCTGACTGAAAAGACAGAACTGCTGGGTGAAAGATACCCCTTACACTGACTGCATGGACACTGATTGGTACTGATGACCCCCTCACACTGCCACTGCTATTTAAGGTTCTGCTTTGCAGCTGGTGAAAACAGTCTTCACACTTTCCTTCTGCAGAGAGCTAGAGTGTAGGTACCAGTGACCTCCTTGGTATGAATGCATAGCCAGAAGAAAGGCCTGGAATCTCAGCAGAGCTGCTGAGGGGATCCAGAGGCACTTACTCCTCTCCTGGAGATAAGGATATTGCTCTGTACCAGCCTCACAATACTCTAGACATGATTAGAAAGCAGAGAGCTAGATTCTACCAAAGCAAGGATCTAATACAGTCTTTGCTCACACACTATCAGTAGACCAGCATTAACTCCTGGGACGTAACACAGCTGTAAAACTACGTGACGGTATTATAAAGAATACAACTGTCAGATCAGTTTTGTTTATATAATGCATTTGTAATGAAAAATCTGTTTCTGGCCCATTGCCACTAAATTAGCAGACAAGAGATTTGGTGAAAGCAGTGCTTGCTGAGCATTCAAGTCCACCATTTCACTTCGGCTATGTGTTTTGCCCTATGCTAATAACAAGGAAACCTATCTAAAAAGATCTACTGAAAACAACAGTTTTCTTTATGACTGTGTAGCAGTCAAGGATGAAAGCTGAAGAGGACAACTCAAGGGCATTTAACTAATTTAACATCTAATTTAACGTTACAGTCAGTAAAACCGATTACATAGCTGAGACCACTTACCATCTGTCATATCTAAAGGAGCATGGCCAGTGACACACTAATGTAGGTCACAGTTGCATGTTACCTTATTGGAGCAGTTGTGTTCTCCAGTTTCCACCATGACTTAGGAGGGTTCAGATATCGGCACCACAGCTCCCAGTCAAACCCCTGGGCTGAGAGGGGATACTCCTCTATTTCAAAATTATCATACTTAATGTTATCGAATGATGGAGAAATGACTCTTTTTCTGTTTTCTTTTATCCTAGTGTGAGCACTGGTTCAGCCCTAAAAAAAAAAAAAAAAGAAAAGGTTAGGACGGTTAAGACTACGTCAGTAGAAGCATAGCACTGATAGAAATAGCAACTTATGTTGTATATTTTGGAAAGGGCAAAGTCTATAGTTGTTACCCATTCAGAGTTCCCCTTGCTTTGAGATGGAGTTTTGACAGAGCAGGATCTGCCCCAAAATAACACACTGTGACATTTTATCTGGGATGCCCTACTATTAACCTTGATGTTAGCTGGTGAATGGAAGAAATGAATATCTGCATATCATAGAGCATTTACACCCATGCTACCAAATAACGATAACTTCAGGCTCTCAATATTATCAAGGACATCAAGATCAGAGTTAATAATAGATCTATCCCAGGGACAGAAGCTACTGCCTTTTTACCATCTTTTTTTTTACTCAAGAAGCAGAGATATTAAAACTATACTGAACAAGTTAAAATACATGGTTTCAGTTATGTACTACTTTTGCACAGTGTGGCAACCTCAATGCTAACCTCAGTGCCAAAATGGCAATTCTTTGTTTACTGTGTAGGACATAAAAGAAACACAACATTTTTAATTAAAAGAAGATAAATTTGCCCCTATGGTCAAAGGGCTGAATTATTGGAGGATGTTTTTAATGTACAGTTTTCCAATATAGTTTAAATATATTGTAATTAGACCAGCAGACAACTCACACTATAAAAATGGATCTAGATTATGTTACATAGCACAAATGCATTTTTCATGCTTGTGTCCATGATTGTGTCTGAATTTTCATTAAAAGGATCAGAATGTTAATTCAGCCTCTATATGCTAGAGAAGCTCCATTCAGTAATTTATAGACAGTGCTTGGAAAAGGTCCCTTGGTCAGCAATATTTGAGACACATACCATCCCACATTGAACTCCACATGGGCATCAAAGAGAGCGACTACTGGCGCTGTGGCTACTCTCCACCCACTAACTCGAGATCGAATCAGCCCCTCTTGTTTGCTGTGTCGAACAACCTTGATGAAACCAGGCTTATGGGCATTCACTTCATCAACATACTTCTTTAGTTTCTCCTTGAGTTCTTCTGTGGAAAGAATTAGATGTTAACAAGAAGCATCAGCTCGACAAGATGTAAAAACCTGTTCTTTCAGCAAAAATGAAGTCTTCACACATGAAAATACTCCCTTTTGATTTAACTACTAAAAATTCTGAAATAGTCAAGTCTAAAAGGAGGCAAACAAAAAATAGGACTATAAATTATATAGTAATAAAAAATTCCAAGCGTAACCATTTAGCCTACATGACTGACATCAGAATCCTGCCACTGTTTAACATTAACATGCCACAAAATAAAGCACTCAGTCATGAAGTACCACAGCCACATAAATGCACATTAAGTTACTGTAGCAACAAACAAGTTAACTACCTTATATTTCCCCCAAAATATGCCCAAGTATTGTCCATGAACTTTCTTTACCAATATTTCAAGAAAAAAAGTAAGAAAGAAATGAATTATTAATCCTTTTTCCATTTTTCTTTCTAAACTTCACAACTCTCTTCTATCCCTACTAAAAAGTTCCATGAATTCTGCTCTTTACTCAGGAAAACAAAGACCAGTAAAATACTAGAAATTAATCATTCCTAATTAAAATATGATAGCTTTTTAATCAGCAGCTATCATATCTCTGGTTTAAAGACCATTGCATGAGAAAATCCAATCGGTAGAGCTGAAAGATGCTGCTCACTATTATTATTAACTGAAAACACTGTTCACTACTGTTCCTTATTAGCATTGCTATGTTCTATTTATGTTACGGTACCATTCAGAATTCCCTTGGTGTTAGTAAGTTCCCTTTCTCCCAAATCTCTCCACAAATCCAGAAATGCCTTTGCTGTGATGCAGAATAAAGCTCCTGTGGTTACAACGCTAAACTGGATATCATCAAATCTGCATTAAAAGCTCAACACTGCCTAGCCCTTTCCTTGAAATCTTGAGCAAGCCACTTAACTTCTCTATAATCAATTCCCCACCTGCAAAATGGGATCACCACACTTATTTCTTCTTTTCAGTCTATTTAAACTTTAAACTCTAGAGAACAGCAGTTTTCTTTTTCTCTGTGTTTGGCTGGTACCTAACGCTCTGGGGCACTGTGCTAAGGGGAGGTTGCATCAGACAAGGGATGGCACCAGAGCCCAGCAGAGGAAGGAGCAGCACCCTGTAGTCAGCAGTGTGGGAGGGAGTACAACTTCTGTCACATTGGCTGGCCCAAACCATTTCCCAACACGATACAACAGGGTTTTTCTTTTAAACCTGACCAATGAGACTTTCTCTTCTATTGTTTTGCAGGCATTAGCGGTGCAATCTGCTCCTAGCTACATGCCAGGGGGACGTTTCTGCACTGAGCCCAGGTAGATTCTCAACACGATAAGCCAACCAGTCTGGGAACTGGTTGCCTCAAACAGATCTGGACAACACGCACACTAGAATGTTTAACGCAACAGAAAATTAAAAGCAAGCACACTTTATAAGCCACATTAAATGTTCACCCTTCAAAAGGAGGTGGATGTGTCCTCTGTCAGGCTGACAAAGAGGAACACAACTGTTTCATACGGGGTCCTCTAACCTAAAGACTGTTACAACCCACATGACCTTAGCAGACCTTCTTCTCTGAGGATACAGAGGAAAGGACAAGACGGTCAAGTACAAAGACTCCTTAAATTCACCCCTCTATGTAAAGATTCTCAGCCACCAGGTGCGATGCTCTTGCAGCTGGTTCCACTGGCATTGCAGGACCGTGCATGCCCCGTACCTTTGCATAAATGAACTCTCTGCATGGAAGTGAGAGAGTACCAACTAAAAGTTCTGATACTTACAGTTTTTCAATAAAGAACAAGAATTAAATTATCTGATGACCCGTCCATCACAGTACTTAAACTGAAGATATATCTTAAGAATGGACTCAATATATTCCTACGATTTTCCACATTATATGATCAATATCTATTCAAATTGTTTATCTATGACTGCATCACCTTGAATAAACAATATGAGGCATTAACACACACAACACAGAGCACTATTCTAGTTTGTGCTGCGTTTTGATCAATACACTTTTTTCCCATTATAAAGCCAAAAGATCATAGTCAGGTTTTCTATCATGCTTGTGCAAAGCCACTTGTTGTTACTGTTCATCCCCTAACACACAGGCATTTGTAGCAAGCACAAAACTATCAAACCAACCACTAGCTAACAGCACTTTAAATTCCAAAGACGACATTTGTATTACTGAAATTGTGCACATCTAAAAATAGTGCAAAACAGTCCTCTATTCCCAAAGCGTAACATTGTGGAGGGCGAATATCAAAACATGAAGATCAAAGCTTTGCTCTCGGTGTAAGTGGCTGTTCATAGCTTTGCAGTACCGGGAAGCTTTATTTGCCACAACAATGCAGCATCACCATAGAGTATAAGATATATAATAGGAAAGCAGGCTCTAATCAAGGACTTGAATATCAGTACCCTTGATAAAGTCACTGTTCTCTCAAGCACCTTCATTTTTAGCAAGTGGGCTATTCTTACTCCTGTCATATACTTTCCTAACGTGGACTGACTCTATAAGCTTGAGTAAACACAAAGTCTTTTTCATAGCTGGGTGTAGTAGGGAAATAGGTGGAAATGGAATAGAAGCCAAATCTTGGCCTGCCATCAGCATGACTTCAGCTGCATATTATAGCTATGACATTTACTAGGCAGTACACACTTCTAATTTTCTGGTTACACTGCAGCTTTTTGCAAATTAAGCGAATGGCCTGAGAGAGTCTCAGGGGAACCTTGGAGTCAGTCAGTATGGAGGAATCCTTCCCTGGACTTCAGTATCGGCCTCAAGGGACAAAGAAAATGCTGCATTTTACTTAATCTTCAATACTGGCCCACAAGCAGTGACTTACTCTGTAGCATATCCACAGGAGACAAAGCAACATTTTGCAGTCAGGTATTTTCTGACCTTTGTTATTTAAAACAGATTAGCCTTGCTTTGCAAAGGCAGGGTGCTGAGCAGAGCATTATGCGCACCCTTTGTCTTCAAAACCCATTGGGCAGACTCTCCCAGAAGAAAAGATAAGTCTACAAAAAAAAATGTATCATTTTCACTCAGTCACAGGGCACAGCAGACATATAAATGAAGCTAAAAAAGCCACTATTTGGGAAGAACATTAAAGATGCCCTAGCAGGATACTTAAGTCAGTTTTTTTCATGCATTTCACATTTTCCTGAGTTTTACATAAGAAATCTGAGTTCGGTTGTCTTTTGAGACACCCTGCCCAACTGGACTGAATGATGGGACTCTTCCCCCTAGAACTGATCATACACTTTGTTATGGCACTGATGGTCTTCAGCCATACATTTTTAACCCATGCTCTGTTTTTTTTTCACTTCAGATACATTGCCTGAATAATAAACAGTCTTTTTCATTAATTACTGTGCTTCACTGCTTTATGCCACCATAGGGAGAAGAAAGGGAATGAGCAAATGTGTCATCTTCAATACACTGTTGATTCGGTTTCTAATTATGGAAACAAACAGGCTTATAAAGATAGATGTGTTTGCCTTTCAGTGCAGAATCTCTCAAATAAGGACTCAATTTGATGAAGCTGAATAAGTATCTGCAATTGGAGAGAAAGAGCAGCCATATATGGAACGGGAAAACGGTGCTTATCCAGCGCTTGGAAATGTTGCACTCTACCACCTGTCTCTATATGGTACAGATGTCTGGAAAGCACAGCACAACTCTCCTCATAAATGTAGAAAACATAATTAATGTGCTATAATTATGTTTAATATTAACATAATTAAGTTCTAATACTTCTGAGAGGTTCTTGTTTGTTTTTAACAAATCCACAAAAATTTTGTTTGTCAAGTTTCCCTATTCAGCATGACAAAGCAGTGCTAAAGAATTCACACAACTTTGCCGTCTTAGGAAGGGGCAGAAGCAGGGCAGGATGGAGGCAGGGAGCATAAGGAGTCAGATATGTCAGCCATCCCACAGCTACAGAGACTGTATGTGAAGGGATCATTTAATTCATGAAAATCCCTTCACATGCCATCTTCCTTTCAGGATTTGGTCTGAGAGAATGGTGGGCTTGAGAGAGACCTCAGCAATGCAACCGCTCTCCTTGCAATACTGCAGCTTGCTTGGCTTGTGCAAGTGGCCAGTCCTGACTCAGAGGGGTGATCTGGACCACAGTCCTGCGTCCTCTTTGAACAATGGGGGGATGTGGCAGGCAATGCAATGTGGAAAAAATGTCTTACATATGCCCCCAGGGAGTTTCTCAGAAGGAAAACCATCTACAGATCATGCTCTTAATCGAGTCGCATGCAAGTGGCCTCTACCCTCCCTAAGTTGGGAAGTTATTAGGCTAGATGCTCATTGATGTAAGGTGCTTTAGCCCCATGAGACTCCAGTGTCCTACAGCAGCTGTGGATCTGTCCCCAGACTTCAAATTTTAATGTTATTGATACAGTGTTGTCATAAATAATAAATTACTGCCTCACATTCACAGACAAGTAGCTTAAAGTACAGTCAATTAAGCCTCACTTTCAATAACTTTCACGCTTTAATGTACTCCCAATTCTGAGTGCTTAAATGAGTCCTCACATCTCAGAACAATTACATTTGTAAAGTCTGACACTCAATGCTTTGCTGAGACAGATGCATTTTACTGAATTTTTGAAACTCTTCTTAGCTGTAAGTTTGCCAACAGAGCTAAAATGATAAATAAATAAATAAATAAACGCAAGCTTTCTCATAACTTTATGCATTTTCTAAAGTCTAAAAGTCCCTGTTGACTTCGGTGCAGCAGAATGCACGCTGGATGTTATTGCCATCTCTGCAAGCCTTGCACTTTTACCTTCAGGGAAAAATTTATTTCCATGTCAAAGGCCCAGGAATTACCATGTTCCTCTTTAACCTTAGCACTTGGCACAAACATGGCTTCTTTTTCTGTGAAGGGAAAGAAATTATTCTTCAATACAGAATGGGGTTTAACGTAACAATTGTCCTCTCTGTGCCAGAAACTGTGGATTGA